CTCACATTCTCAGTTGCGATATACCTACATTTTAGAGACTTCTGTTGCCGTTACATTATTCGCCTTGAATACATTCATAAACTCAACAGTAAGGTCACCACATCCCGCGCCAATGTCCAGACAGGAAACATCGCTAGTTGAGTTCTCGAGTTTCAGCTTGCTATGTGATAGTAGTTTCCTCCATTGCTCTGTGGGAGGCAACTTCACAACGACACTACGTAAATCCAACCTACTTTCGCTGAGCATGAACAGCCTCGGTCGTTGGAGAACAGCCTGGACCTGAGCCCGAGCAAGATAGATAGATGTGCATGGTGCCCATGTGATGTAGTACATCGTAATGGTAAATACATGGGCATATAGTGAGCGTAGCAAGCCACGAGAAACACCGGTAAAGACTTGATACTGTCGAGCTGGATAATACGAGGAAAGATTGATAATATCGCCGCATAGTGACACCAGCACAGTGTAGTGTCACCACTAACGAGAGCATCTCATTTAATTCCAGTCCCAAGACAAAATTGACAGTTCGTGTTAGTGTGGTATGCAAATGTGGAAAATGCGCGGCGTTATTCGCATTGATCCGAGACTTAACGAAATTAATTGCCTTTTTCTGGCACGCACTGTGAAGGCGACGATAGGATAGAAGTGTCTTGAGACCAGTATTATGATACTCTCGATCACAACCTAGCCACTACAGCTACGCTTACCTCACCTCTCAGGGTCTCGAACATGCCTGGTAATAAGGGCACATACTTCATCATCATCAACAACACTAAGAGGCACCTGCTACACAGCATCAGCTGAGCCAACAACCCTCCCAGTGTCAACCTCACCCATTTATCGGCGAGGTCCTCTCCTAACACATCCGTATCTACTGCATATCGCAACCGCAGCCTCATTGTGCTATAGTCCAGACCGTTGTAAGCCGATGGTAGTCCGGACGAATTCACCCAAAACGGCGGCCGCGCTTCTTCTATAATCAGTTCACCTGTAACCACCGACTATAACAATACCCAATACGCCTATTCCCCTCCTACGAGTTGCGAGCGATACCATATGCCTCAAATACTCAGCCCTTGACGACATCATGAATTCAAACCACTAAACGGCAACTACGCCTCTCCCACACTACCCGAATAACCAACCCAAGTCGTCTAGTACATAATAACACCATTCTGGTAAGGTTAATAATTTTACATGCGCGCAAGTCAGGAACTATGCTGGTACAACTTTATGGAGATTCCCACTAGGTCGGGGCGCAGGCTTGCTATGGCCACATACGCCCAAGATCCTCAACAAGCGGATGATTGGAGCCACATCGTCCTGCTTCTTCAGCCTCGACATATGCGACGCTATTGGCAACTTTAGAGATGCTCTCTCACGCACTTTCGAGGGATGAGCACCCAGTGCAGCAGACGTGTCTGAGCAATTCGATAAAGGAGTGGTAGAGAACGCCCAAGAGTCACCTTCCACTTCCTCACCAGCTCTATTGGGCGGATAATCCACCACTAAGCGGACCTGCGCGATACAATGACAATTACGGTATAGTATCATATGCTACAGGAATTTCCCCTATAATACAGTGGAAAAAATACAGAATAAAACCAGCGAGTGATACGGAAGTGTTCCCTACAAGAAAGTGTTGTATTCTTACTACCGGTTCGTTATGACCATAATTCGGCTCAACTATAGTGCTATTCTTCAACGTCTTCTTGAGGAACTCATCTCCTCGGTATAGGAGTCTCCGATGCTCTCGAGACTTTTTCATTTTATGGCACTACCAAAAATACAACCCTATGGCCATCCCAACAACAAGCCTTACCGCAGTTTCCCCCTTCGTTGCATGATGTGCCAAGCGCTCGCCTAGGTCCCGTGCTTTGTCCTTCCTGATACAGGGTGAAGTCGGTGAGGAGGAGGGAAGACTACTCCTCAGTATCGTTTCTATTACTTGCTGGCTTTGCCCACAGTCCGCCTTGAGCCCGCCCTGGGAGCAATAGCTGCCTCCTGTAAATTCCCGTATGATACCCTATTCACGAGAGGGGCCCTAAAGGGTAGTGGAATCCACTCACCCACACAGACTCCAGTACTCCTTACCCTCCTATCACAGTTGGCCTCTTCACATTAGCCTGGCGGAGTCGCTGAAAGGACGGTATCCAGGAAGGAAGAGAACCCACATCATCATATACTTACCACATCCTCTCGCTGAACATGTCCTGGTATCCATCCCGGAGTGTTGATGAACTGTGGGCCCTTGGCAACTGATTTCCTCTGTTGGAAGAAATCCAGACTCATCTGAGTATCTTGCCGCGAGCCTCGTCTCGGCAGCGGCTGCGGCGGCCGAATTGAGGTTCTGCTTTCACGGGCCGCTGATTTCTGCATTTGTCTTAGTTCATCAACCTCAAAGAAATGTCCTGATAATGTCCTGACTCCCCCCTCGGGCAACCCCAGCAGTAAGTAGGAACTTATACTACTTGCTCAAGTAGCGCCAAGCTCAGCACAAAAAGTCAATAGCATTTCCAAAAACCGTTGAGGAATAGCAAGTGTGCAAGATATAGCAAGATTGTAAAAATAGGAGACTTGATACTAAGCAGCGTCTAGGTGAAGGACCTGAGGCAATCTGTACGGTAGGCCGTCGGCCTAAGGCCGATTCGTATTTCAGTAGTTGAGTGCGGAAAGCCTCTCAGTGAGTTCCCTATGATATATGCCCACTCAACTGGCCCAATTGAGCTCTAGGTGGGAATCCACCTCGTCACCAGTTGTGTATAGTTGATCTTGATATCATATTTTACAAATTTTGTTGTTGCCGTTTTGAGCACACTATCAATGTGTATACGTGTATTAAACCCGCATTGAACACAACAGCAGTTAGCATGAAGAAAGGCAATCGTATCTTTAGAAATGCTAAAGAATATTCACGTAATAGACTTATGCAATCGTTCTTGAGGCAAATGATCATCATCTTCCACCGAACGTCCGTTGTAACACACCCTGTTTCTCGTACTCGCGAGGACCAAAGCCGCCAACAGGTGGCTTCGGGCATTGGAACTTCTCCTCACCCGTCGAGTCACGATTGATATTCAAAGAGAGGATCTTATTAATAAGCTCTCCCAAGGAGAGTGTAGCGCCACCCCATGGTATGAACCTAAAGTATTCTAGTACCACAAAGTATTAATAACCTATAGCTCAACAGAGGAGCCCATAGTGGTAACTACTGTTGGTGAATTCTTCCGAGCAAGCCACTGGCAAAATGAATACAGTTCGATTGTATACCAATTCGAAGTCGTTACTCTCATTGACTTACGCATTATCCATGAGAAATGGCTGCAACTCCTTCATCAGGCTTCTTGCAAGCTCGTTGTCACATCGCTAAGGCTTATTGATA